TCACTATACACTGACCGGATCCAGAGGAGGGCCGGACGGATTGCTGCAGACCCCACCCACCCAGGCAATGGTCTGTTTGTGCCTCTTCCCTCCAGGAAAAGGTACAGGAATATAAAGACTAAAACAAACAGACTGAGACACAGCTTCTTCCCCAGAGCTGTGAAATCAATCACCCCCCCCCAACCCCTAGCCACACACACATACAACTTCCCCCCTACGGACAGACACAGGCAGAACACTGGACCCCTGCAGACACACATACACACACATGTTCACACCTCTTCCTAAAGACTGAGATTTGCACTGAGCTGCACTTTATAATGTTACCACATTCTTTTGCTGCTAACATGTTTCTGACCTGATTAGGTCGCATACATTCTTATTTTTATCTCTTCATATCTTGATTTTGACATACAGTTTTTGTGTTACTTATGTAAATAATGTGTCTTTTAAGCCAAGAGCTGCTGGAAAAAAATTTTGTTGTGCTATGCATAATGACAATAAAGATTCTTGATTCTTGATCTCTCTCTGATGCCTGTATGGACAAACAATCTGACAACCATATCTGACTAATTTTGTTGTTGCACATTAAAAATAATTGCTGTTGGTATGTTTGTTTTGTTTTTTCACAACTAAATCAGAAGGATGTACTCAGTGAGATACAGGTCTGTCTCTCTAATACCTGTACTGACAACCACTAAGTGATACACCTGTTCATGCAATGGGAGAAACTGGTTTAAACAATGCTCAAATCAGAAGGATGTGCCCTTTGAGGTAACACTATAGATAATAGTGCAAATTGTCACCTGTTCACTCTTCTTTCCTTTCCCTGCCTAGCCAGGCCGTATATTAACAACAAAGCTAAATGAGAATGAAGGAAACTCCTAATTTGCTATACAAGTTATGAAAATGAAAGGAAATTCTGATTTGCATTAAGCTAACTCACCAGTTGTGCTTACTGGTGCATGTTATTTGCTGAATGATGTAACAAGTGAGCCAACTCAGCCTTTTTCTTCATACTATTTATATTTACAAAGAAATAAGGCCTTATGTTGCTTGTTTATTCCTGGTGTCCACGATGCTCACCCAGACTGTTGAATTAGGGTGAAATACAATCAGAGGTTCAACCAGTCTTCAGAAAATAATGACTTGTAGTAATGTGAACAACAATAACCCCAGGCTGTAGCCGCACAGAAACTGGAGAAGACAGAATAACAAACTAACAATCCTGAAATAATTAAAGTTTCTAATGCTCCTCTTGTATACAACATAAAAAGGATAAAATGAGTTAATATTACCCAAGTCATAGGTAGCATTAATATCACTCTAAAGAACACCCTGTCATAACATTTAGTTTGCTAGCTAGTTATCTGTTCATGTTAGTTAACTTTAACTGTTAACTATTTTTGTTTGTATAGTGCTAAGATTAGCAAGACTATGCCCAGGATAATAAATCATGTCTTTCCTGTCACTGAACAATTACGTATTTCATAGCGGTACCATGACATTAGGATCACAGAAGGCACAGCAGCTGTGACAGTCAGGCAAGGTCTATCCTCTGACTGAGCACTGTGCTGTTTTCATCTAAAATGCACTCCAGCAATCGCATCACAGCAGGTGCAGGTGGAAACAAAGCACATTAACCCTTTGTGGAGCCAATGAAAACTGTAGGCATATACAATTAATATCAAAATAGTGGTGGGGAAAACTTTAGGTAATCAGAAAGGTGACAGGAACATGTCCCTACCATAAATTACACCTATGCATGCAGGCACAGGCAGAACATGCAAACGCATCACAGAGGGGCACCAGGTCGGCTGGGGCTCGAACCCGAAACCTTACTACTATATGAGGGAAAAGCGCTAACCACTGCATCACCATGCTGCCCTAAGGACAGAAAGTACGTGTCAAAATACTTGATATGGACCTTGAACCTATCAGATATACAATATTAGTCTTGTAAGTTCCATCGATAAAACCAGGTCAACAGCTAATATTACATGATAGTGACTGTGGAGGTTTGCAATAGCTTAGTAGTGTTCAGACATGAATAATACTCCTCCTCAATCCAACATGCCATTTCGTATAAATGTAAACTTGTTTATGTTTGCTGATTAATGTTGCTTCCAAAACCTGCTTATGGCCGTGCACCACCATCAACAACTGGACTGGTGTTGCAGAGTAGACTGTGATAGATACACTTAGCTCTGAATACCGCATTGAAGTCCACATAAAGTGTAGGTTTAAGTGCACAGTGTTTTCACATTTTATCGACACAGAACATACTTGCATGCCAACAACATGCACTACAATGCTCAGGATCATAGGTGTAGTTATTGGGACAGACCCTAAGAAACACTGCTGTAAGGAGCCAGTTGACATGATTCAGCTTACAGCCACTTCAGAAAAGACAGAGGAAAGATCCAGGAATACTTCATGATCCACCAGGAAGTTATAAAGTGCATGGCTAGGGAGAAAGGACTTCTGGCTGAATAAGCTGCAGAGTAGATGAATGGACGAAGGGTGTAACGGCATTTACTGTAACACAAATGAGTCTTCTTAAAATATCGATGACAATTTTCAAAACATTTTAATATACACTAAGTAATTCCATCAACTTATTAGCATTTGGGACCATTTTAGAACTGAGGGTTCTACAACCCAACCAATTCCAACAAGGATTTTTTTTTTTCTCTAATGTGAGACACTGTTCCATGGCGGCTGGAGACAGGTGAAGAAGCTAAGTGACAAGCAACAACAAAAACAACACAGATAGGCGAAATGTGAATGACTTGTCTATGCCCCTGAATGAAATTTCAATTCATCTGAATCAGACTCAGAGCTTTTCAGGAGACTGAGTGCACAAGACAAGGTGACCCCCAGTGTCTGCTGAATGACTACAGATTGTTTTTGTCAAACTCTTAGAACTGAATGATCATTTTAGAAGAAGGAGTTTGTGGTGCTATTGAACTGTATTGCATTATCCTCACAGGTGTTACTATTATTTTCTCCATCCCACTTATATCAGTGAGGTTAAGCTAAATAACGGAAACACCTCTCTCTATAATACAGAACAGTTCGACAGCAGCACAAGCCACATCAAATCAAACAATTAAACAGTCAATTAGATTGCATTACATGTAGCTGGTTGTACCCAATAAACTGCCAGCTGAGTGTATACTTAAAATGCATATGTTAAAAAAATAGTGACTAGCACTTTATATTGTGGTCATGATGTACTTACAGAATCTCACAGTTGTTTACCTTCAGTTTTCCCTTTACTGCCTGTATTTATAGTTTCTAATTGATATATTTCATGTGTATTATTACCTTGTCTTTGTCTTGTTCTCCTTCTGGATTTAATTAATTTTGTTGCTGCAACAAACCTGTCCCTCAAAGACCAATACGTTATAACCTTATCTTTCTTTATGGGGCTGCTCTGTGTGTATTTGTGTGTATTATAACGCGTGTGTGGGCTGAATGGTGCAGAGTGTATTGTCTCCTTGAGAGTCGATAATGTAATCCAGCCACAGTGCTAAAAGACAGTCAGAGGACTTAACTGCCCGTGGAGCTGACACACGATGCACAAAGATGATGAGGTGACTCAGGCTCCCTGCAGGTCTGGGAACACAGAAGGGAAGCTGTGGATGTTGGCCTCTGGATTCACTTCCACTGTGTCTCAATTACAGCCCGAACACAAACACACAACACACACGCACAAGTACTCCAAGGGCAGCCAAGTCTATTTCAGAGTCTGTTACAAATGTCACCTGCACAAACCAGCGACCCACAGAGAATGCCAGGAAACTGAGTGGCTGCGTGGACTTTAAGAATGCAAACGCACAAAACTTTACCATTGACAAACATATCTGATAGCAGAACACCACCCTATGTACGCATTGAGTCGAAGACTCACAATGTTCCCAGTGGAACACAAAGCTACATTTACACTCTTCCCATTTTGTCACAGTGAAGAATATGAGCTCAGGGGATGTGCACTCAACTGAATTCAAACTCTGATAGTGCTTCAGAAATCACTGAGGCACTAAAAGTCCTTACTCACTAGACATGTGAAAGATTGAAGGCATTAACCTTTGCAGAAAACTGTACAAGTGATTTTTTTATATGAAACTATACTTTCACTGCCAGGACAAACAAAAAATATGAGGACAATGAATATTCAGATATTCATTTAAAATGATTAGGAACTCATTTAAAATTACACAATGATTATATTTTGGCGGGAAAACATACATGAATGTGGCAGATACAAAGGAGCATCTAAAAGTCTATGTGACAAATACTATTTCCTATACATCCAATTTCAATCTGTAATTTTGTTGTTGTCTAGGACCATGTGCATGTGCAAATCCCCAATCTGGAACAAAATGTACTCATAGCAGTTGAAAATCAGCTAAATAATAACAAACTTACCTTGCTTCCTTTGTCTGCACTCCGCTCTGAATTGTAGAGCTGCTCACAAATGGAGGGGAAAGGAAAAAGAAAATCTCAAGACTAAGAAAAGTAGAGAAGAAG